CTGCTTTTTCTGTCAAAAAAAAAAAAAAAAATGATAGGGTCCCAACTCATAGAACAACATATTAAATCTGTAAGGTATGATCCTTTCTCAATACATACAAATACATGCTACATAAAACAATATATAACACAGCTATTTCAAAGCTACTTGGAAAGTATAATAACCCAAAATACACATCAAACTATCTTAACAAAATAATGTTTAATGATGACAGTTTAAGCTTGCGATTACATTACATCCTTGAGAAAAAAACAGCACTACTAGTTATGGCAAAAGATTTAAAACTGCGAAAACAGCTGAAGCGTTTATTCATTTATATGCTATTTCAAGATGAAAAACCCTGCCAAGGGCAACACTCTAGTAGTATAACACATCCTTCTCTTTTTTTTTTTCTTTTAAAGAGCACTAAAGGTTAAAAAAAAAAGTGTTAAAAAGCACGGAAATACCTACATCTACTGGCAATATCTAATGATCAATGAATCTGATGCTCCTTCAATAAATGTGCTTAAAAATAAAGCTCTTCCTTTAATGTGTTTTACACAGCAGGTCCTGATTTGAAGAGGAGATGACTGAGTCTGGCTTACAATACAGCTGTGTAATAAACTATGCCAGTATTAGTATCAAATCACCCCTTAAGAAACTTCCTTTCTGCCACCAAGCGATCCATTTTACAAAGATCTGAACAACTTACAGTTTAAACATTCAAATAAATTCCATTCTCCTTCTTCCTCTCTGTATTTATTTCAAGAATGAGAAGCCACTAGTCGCTGGAGCAGACCCAGAAATTATTTTATCCGTTTACTTTTATTGACAAGATTGCATATTGCATCCAAGTGAGTCAAAGAAAAGGAGCAATAGCCTCATACATCCACAATACGTGAGAAATGGAGATGAGAACCAATTCAAAGGCACAACACAAAGAATTACACCTGACTGCAGCAGCTCACTCACATTCTAATAGTGCAAAAATACATTATCTGTATGAAACTTGGTATCAGTTTTCTTCACATAATAAAATAGTCAGTTCAACACACTGCAGGATTTCACATAAAATGAAACTGGTGGCACATAAAAGCCCACCATCAGCCCAGAATAAACCCTACTTCCAGTTTGATAGTCTCCAAAACAAACACACTGGCATAAGCCTACAAGGGAAACAGAAAATACAGTAGGAAAAAGAAGGCAAATTACTGAGCAGTCCCCTTTCTCTAGTCTGGACTCTGTTATCTGGAAGTAAAACCTGTTGAATTACACTTCCATCACAAAGTATGTAGTCACGGGGATGGCTTATTTACCCTGAAATAGGACATTAAACTTCCGCAACTCACAAATGCTCCTGTTACAAGCAAGTTCAACTTTCAGTCTATAAGGAACTGAATAGGATTCACAGATGCCTACACAGACTGAGTCAGGAAAGCTGATCAAATTGCACAGGGCATACTCTTATTTGCATTTGAGAATACTTTAATATCAGTTAAGACTTATTAAAAGTTTCGTAATTGAATTTTCTAATCAGCTCAGTCAATCTATATGTCTTGAGGAGAGTAGAGTGTGCAACTTTTTTTTCTGACAGCAAGTGAATGAGAAGGATCCTCTTAGGCATTTTCTCCTACCTCAGTACCTACGAGTAAACAAATCGTGTTTCTCCCTGGCCATAAAGTGGAGTGAAAAATAATTTCTGTTTACCTGTTTCTAACTGGGAGACTTTGTGCCACCCAAACTTCAATAATCGTTCACAATAATTGTATTCTTTTTCCTAAATTAATACTTTTTTTTTTTTTTTTTCTCTTCAAAATCATTTTCCTTGTCAAGAAGGCAGGCAATCATAGTAAGCATTTTCCAAGACTGGGAAATAAAAGAATACCTCATTTTAAAGTTAATGAGCATTTGGGCATCATTCAAGGAATAGATCATGAACCACGTAAATGGTCTTCAAATTCAGTTTTCCACTGTAGCAACAGAATGAAAGGAATATCCTAGTATGACAGTCAACTAAATGAATGCCTTTCATGTTACTAGCTACCTTGAGCAGCACTGTCCTTTTATTCATACCTCCTTACTGATATAACTTCATCTGTTGCCACATTTAATATTTAAGCTGTAAACGTTTTGGAGGCAAAGACAACCTTTTTTGTTGTTGTGTAGAACACTTTGGATAATAACGTACTAAACCACAGATGAGGCTCCCAGGAGCTACTTCTTTATTATTGGCCATACTCTCTAGGATGAATACTTGTAGTTTACAGCTTACCTATGATTCCGACTAGCCAGTATGTAGCAAAAATGTCTTCAGAGGACACGTTCCCTTCTCAAGGCCAACATGCTGAAAGTATCAACTTGTACATTCCTCAGAATTGGTGCAATTCAGTAGTAGGACTTGCTAATGCCAATTTTGATCACAATAAGCAACAAGAACCAAGATTTTTTAAAAGCGGTTAGCAGAGTACAGAAGACAGGAATTAAATTCATTTGCAAGCCAAAAAGAAGAACAGAACTAAGGATGTTAAGAACTAATGTTAAGAACTAATAATTAGTCCTTGTAAGATTGAGATTGCCTCGCATTTTCTAATTGACAGTATTAGATAAATAGGAAATGGTGTTTTAAGAGCAGGGAGAGAAATCAAAATACGCTAACTGGTGCAACCGACATTGTATGGTTTTATAGTTTATTTTTAAATTAGAATATATGAAACTAATACTAAAACAGCCATGAAGCCAATCTGGAGATAGGGAAAAGAAAAGAAGCAAGACCAAAGGTGTTACAAACTACTGCTTTTATCTCTAATGAGGCTCAACAACAAGGAACTGGAGACAGGCTGCCCAGAGAGGTTGTGGATGCCCCGTCCCTGGAGGTGTTCAAGGCCAGATTGGATGGGGCCCTGGGCAGCCTGGTCTAGTATTAAATGGGGAGGTTGATGGCCCTGCATATGGGAGGGGGGTTGGAGATTCATGATTCTTGAGGTCCCTTCCAACCTTGGCCATTCTGTGATTCTGTGAAATAACTACATTAGATTTTTACTTTTATATGAAATAGTTGCATCTACACATAAAAACTGCCATGAAAAATTTCAGGTGTCATTCCCAGACTGAAGATTACCAAATGCAATGCTGTGTCATTACTCCTTACCAACAATCTGCATTTGCAGATTCAGGCAAAAATGCAGAGACCACAGTTTCATGCTTGGTGCCTGGATTTAGACAACCAGATCCTCAGAGTAGTAGTTTGGATACAACAAGGCTGCTATCTTCTACCTGTGAATCTCTCCCTGCTTTCTTCTTCATCTAATATCCCTGAAGTCTGCACTATATGGGAGGTTTTATTCCCATTTTGCCTTTATCCTCTTCTATGATTCCTGCTCTTCTACAATACTCTCCACTTCACAAACTCTCACTTCACAGGCTAGGTTAACAACAACAACAAAAGTTGGGATGAATATCAGCAGATTTATCAGTATCTTGTTATTTCATAAGTCCTGTATAGTCAGCATGTATTCTATACCTCTAAACTAAAATACTCAATCCATTCAACTGACAGTATTTAAAATATGAAGAAGTGTCCAAGGCAGCAAACCTACTTCAATTTCACAAACTGTGACATGTAGACCAGAAGAGCTGTTTTTCTTCTCTCTCATAGGCTGTATTACTAAGAATTCACCTACTAAGATTTTACCAAGATGCCTATGAACGTTACTTTCAAGTTATAGACAATTCAAGCATTTAATGCCAAACTAAGAATGGAGAAAATTGAAGTCAAGTACAATATTTGAAGTCAGTTGCCTATAACTGAGTCCATTATAACTTGAAGTCAGTTACCTATAGCTGACTCCTACAACAAGAGATGAAAAGATATAACATTTACAAGAATATCACAAATACAATTAAAAATTTTATTTAATAAATGATCCAGCATTTTAATGAAAAACAAATTAACACTCTCAATGGAATTTTAAAAAGTAGATGAAGCAAAATTAACATATAATTACAGAGTGAAATCACCTCAGTTTAATTTTAAAATCAAAGGAGAAGAGTCTCCTGCATCACTGCTACTTACAACATCTTTTGTTAAGTTTACTTTGCATAATATTTTTATTCCAAACTGAGATTTCTACATTGTACCAGCATTATTCAAAAAATTAATCAGCCACACCTCACCGAATTTCTCCTAGTGATCTGAAGCAAGTGCTGATGCTTTCACTAATACCAGTCTTGAGCACAACTCACTTTTCTTATATTTCCCAGAATGGCAAGCAAGCTTTAGCTTCATCCTTCCTTTCCAGACCAGCTCTCTGTGATTAGCAGAGCAGAGGCTGCAGACAGAACTCAGCTTACACATGCAGCTTTTTTGGCTACAAACGTCCATTTTGTTTAGTATCTAAATCCAAGTATTTCTCAAGCTCTAGGACACTGCCACTTCTGATCTTAGTTAAAAACAGAATCATTTAAAATGAATTCTAATAGCTAGCACATAAGATACAATTCAAGAACTGAAATGCATATTGAATTATGGGTTTTTACTAACCTGTTGGGCAAAGTACATAATCGAAGTAAAAGCTGTAATATCAATTATAAAAATATCTCTTAGAAAACTCCCAATGATAATGCAGCTGCAAAATGCCCTCAAATCATCTGTCCTAAAAAATGAACCAACACTAAGAACAAACCAACACTGACCATATTAAGTGCAGGACATCTGTTTTGTGAGGGAAAACAAAACAAAACAAAAGAAAACCCCCTCAAGCTCCACCATCATCTGATCCATACTCGTTTTTGAATACAGAATTAGTAGTTTCTGGGTTATGAATACCAGCCACGCTCATAAAAGCTGATACTAAAAAACCCCAGAAGTGTGCATCCATGTGCATATCCTCCAAGACTTTTTGGAAGGATGTCGAGTGACTCCGTGTATTTCATTTTGTTTGCACCAGCATAATCCTGAAAAGAGGTCAGGCAGGCTCTGCTCGCCACGCACAGAACGTTTCATGCTGCAGGACAGGGCTTACCTGCTGGGCCTGGTATCTCTGCTGGGCCTGTGACAGATACTGTGCCTGGGGCGGCAGGTGCTGCGGCTGCTGGTTGTAGTATGGCTGCTGGCCCTGCTGGCAGTAGCCACTCACGCCTTGCTGACCATACTGCGGCGGTATCTGTTAGGAGAGCCAAGCAGAGCAAATGGTGAGTCAAAACACAGCGCTGAGTTCAGTTGTATCTGTAGGCTAACCAGCCTGGAGGCATAATCCTCAGCTACAGCCCTCACCCCCCGTACCAATCTCATACTCAACAGTCAACATCAGCTCTTAGATCCTCCTGCCTGAGCAAGAGAAGCAAGCTAGAGCACTCTCTCTCGTCTCCCATTTCAGGGAGGACTTCTAAGGAAAACGCCATCCTTCTGAACATCACAATCCCATAATGTCCAAGCTTAAAACACACAGGCAGTTATTTTAAATGTTTGCTCTCCATAGGACACTATTGAGGCACATCTACAGAAGAATCATTCTGCTGCAATGACCCAAAAGCAGAACTGGATGTAGCAGCACAACTCTAAAACAGACACTGAAAGAGAAATACCAATCTTTTCCAGAGCAAGAAAGTACTCATCTTTGTGAATTTTTTTTTTTTTCTGTCCATAACCCTCAGGTTTTTAGCTTTCAGATGTACGAGAGCATTTAAGCTTTACAGGAAAAACTTAGGGTTTGGAGAGACTTAGTTTTTAGAAAGTTCGATCTCTTTCTCCTACACCTACTACGATAAATCATTTTAAACAAGAAACCAACCCAAAAAGAGCACAGCATAAAGTAAACCATTAAAAGTCCTATGAATGGACAAACATGTGCATGTATTATACATTGAGAAATCCTCCCCACACAGAGAATTAAAGTTATAAACAAAATGAAGTCAATTACATTTTGTTATATGAATTTTCTATAGCAGTTTAGGTGGTAAGCTTTCTATCAATAGATATTGACATTTCTTGAGATATTTAAAAGAGCAGGCATGCAACAAGCCCAATTCTGTCTGTATTACCCATTTTAGGTATTTGTTCTCTCCCACAGACAATAGTATTATTTATATTATTTTACATGAATGCTACATGCAACACAGGATTTCTCCTAACTGAAATAGATCTCCAATTGGTCCTGCACATCTCTGCCTTAAGCAAATATCTCGAATACCTGAGTGCCTGTGAAATGCTTTGATCTCTTAATTGTTCCCACTGAGTCTCTGATACTCTGATAAATCTGTTTACTCAACACACAAACACATACCTATTCTACCTAAAGTTAGCTTACTATATTCACTCAACAATACAGTGATATTTACTGGGCAATAATAATAATAATATAAAGTCAAATTTAAACTCATGTTTAGCTGTTTGGTTTATTTCAACTATCACAACTTCATCTGTTTTTACAACTTTTGCCAGGAGCTGGTAGTCCAACATCTTGGTAGCTTCTAAACTCAACACTTGAACCCAACTTTTTCTCCTTGCACATCAGTTCCTTTGGCACTACTTCACCAAAATGTTTGTGTTACCATGTTAAACCTTTCAATGAATATTTTTAAACTGAAGGGATGACTTAAGAAGACTATGTGGTTCAAAAGCATGAACCATGCTACTGCAAATGAAGACATGAAGATTCAGGGTCATTGAGCGAAGCTGGTGAGAAGAATGAAATAATGAAAACAGGCACACAGGATGTAGATTGATCAGGGTGACGAGTAGTAAAACCAACAATAAATTGCCTTCTACACAAAGGGTGAAAGTGGTAGAGAAACTGGATCACTGGAATATTAAGCCTCAGACTAAAGCACCAACCAAAGTCCTATGGCAAATCCCCAAAACGAAGTCAATTAGCAGGACACTTTTGCATCATCCCAGGAAACAAATACAAATGAAAGACAGCTGATGACAAAGTCAGACTTTAAGGAAAACAGAACTCCACCTCTTGAAGGGCCTGGAGTTTGTTCTCATCAGGAAGAACAAGTGTTGGGAGTGCCAGGCATGGACAGACTATGGCTACACTGACAACATTGTGCTATGAAGGATCACAGGCAAATAGAAGATGGATTTCAACTTCTTGCCTGTAAACTGAACAAGCGGAATACAGCGCAGAGCCCAAAGTATGAGATCAGTGCTGAAGGCTGTTCCACAGAGCTGCGGCTAAGAAAGGCCGCACAAAGAGCCAATGCTGTTGGCTGAGTCCTGAGCTGCAGGAATCATCTTGTTCCAAGTCTACAGCTGCAGAACCACAAGGTATCAGTGACCACAACACAGCTAAATTGAGCATCCCTACAGGAACAATGAAAACTCAGGAGTCTCCTGTTGTTGTTCTTAACTTCAAAGAGTCTACCTACACATAAAAAGGAGAAAGCTTGTTAGAAGGAAGCTCGAACAGACAGCTAGGAGAACTAAAGTCTGACTGGCAGCATCAAAGCTGCTTAACAATAACCACGTGGAAAGCAGAGAACCAATATTCACAACCTATTAGAGACCTGAGAAGAGCAAACAGACATCAGCATGGCTCATAGTTGGTTTCCACAACCAAAAGGCATCCTTTGGTAAGTCAACACCAAGCCCAAATGTAGAAAACAAAAAAGACTGTAAACTCTGGCACTTCAAATGTAATAAGGCAGGACAGAAGGAATTGGAAGAACAGCTAGAAAAGGGAAACAAAGGAGCAGTGAGTCATTTCTTCAAACAAGTCAGGAGCAGAAGGTCTGCCAGAGAGTCTGAAGTGCCAAGTGATGGTGAAGGTACACAAGGAGATTATAGAAAAAAGGGATATCACAGAAAAGCTTAATGATTTTTTTTTTTTTTAATTTATTTATTTTTGCTTTGCATCAGCATGCACTGTGGAAAAACCTTGGGAGTCGCTGGAATCCCTCTTCATGAGTGACTCAAAGAATGAGTCTGACTATGATGGAACTAATCATGGAGCAAACTGACAAATGAACAGTAAGTACTGCTAAAGATGACGCACTCCATAGATCTAAATGGACTCAAGAACGAAATATCTGAATTATAAATGGTGGTATGTAACCTCTAATTCAGAGATGCCTTGGTATGCAAGAAATGAAGAACAGTTTAAAAAGAAAATTAAGACTGCAAAGAACTGATGGCTTGCACTCATTTATCCAGTACAAGCAAGAATGAAGATGCGAATTAACAAACATGACTTTCCAAAGGAAGAATCTCTCTCTCCAGACTTCTTAGATTTATTAGAAAGGATCAAATGCAAGGGTTCCAAGAAATGCAACGAGAATGAGCAAAGACGTGGAACAGGGGGTACAAAGCTAGAACCCTTCAAGACTAGAAAAGACAGCAGGAAATGAGAATATAATGGAAAGTTACAAAATCATTGCATCCACCACAACTAGAAGGTATCAGATGAAGCTAGAAAAAGCAAACTTCAGAATGAGATACAGGAAGGTTCTCTAATCACAGGGGTAGTTGATGTTTTAAACTTCTTGCCAAACAATGTTTTGAAAGATCAAAGTTTACGCGGACTGCAGCAAAGACTGGACAATTTCAGAGAAGATACATCCTCGGAGGGTTACCAAATATACAGAGCCACATCTGGCTCAGGAAGACTCTGAGCTGAAAAGAGCTGGAGGCTTGAAAAGTGCTGGGGGAAGTATCATATGCTTGCTTTGTTCCAACTCTTCTCCGGGCATCCAATTAGAGCGTCTGCTGGAGATGGGATACAGGCTACATGGAACCTTGATCTGACCCAGTGCAGCCATCCCCATGTTCTACCCGTCTCTTTGCAAAGCGCGTTCCTCCCCTGCAAGGGGAAAAAAGCAAGGGAACGTTGACCTGCAGGATACCTCAGTAATAAATTAAGTAACCTGAAGGGGAAATAACACCTTCACTGCCAACAGCTGGGGGACCGCTCCAAGTTTATAAATATTTTCTCTAGCGTTCTGCTTCCAGACAGTGATATAAAAGACGGTACTGGATTCTCCTTCTGACCTTAGGTATCACTTACTTACATTAAATTTTTCCTCCATGTTCTTTCAATCTAAGTTTTTGTTTATGTTTTGCTTTTTGGTTTTTGTTTTGTTTTTAAGGAAAAAAACAGCAACAATACAAAAACAACAAAAAAAACCTCACACACAACAATCCTGATACTTTTGGATGTCATACAGACAGTGCAGCGACCCATCACTAATGCCATAGTAGAACACTCAGTATAATTTCTGTGGCTATTTAAATAAATAACGAACAACAACATGCAAATTAATCCTCCTGCTTTATTGATGTGGATCACAAGATACCGCTTATGGACAAATGTTTATTAAACAGCATATAAAGAAGCTTAATTAAAATCTCCCCAGAACAAAACAAATCTGAAGCCAATTACTTACAATGCCTGGAGTGAATGACCCAAGCATCATCTTTCTTCTTAAGGTAATAGTTCCCTCCCTTTCTGCCTTACACCCACATTTGTTATGATGTACACAGTACAGCAGACCAGGATTTGGGAAACTTCAGCATACCTGTGGTAAGACATAGTTCTTGGGACGGTACAGTGAGAATGAGTTTGAATATATCTCTATGCAAGCACAGAAACTGTAATAATTGGTTTGTGTCCTATTGGACTTGCAGAGTACAAGTAGCATTATTCTGGGAGAAGTATGGCTGACCACTGTGATTAAGCTAGTCTGATGGCCAAGAAAGAAAGGAGTAGAAGAAAGGAAGAATAAAAATGGCAGACAGAATGAGGAGGTGAGTGAAACCCAATTAAACCTACAACTTATCCCATTATCTTTAACTCTTGCTTGAAAAAGGGATCTTGTGGCAGATATTCTTTGTCCAGGAAATGCCTTCATAGTAATGGAAGTTTTAAGCAATTTTTGCATGCATAATCCATAGCTAATGTCATAGGAGAAGAACCGTTAGATGACATTACAGTCCTCATAATTTTTAAAATTAAAATGTAACAGAATTAGTGTGTTAGCACAAGTACACTCATAATACCAGCAATACGCAGCTACTGCACTTCTAAGCCATCCTAATGGCTAGGTCCAGTCAATGATGGAAGGGACTACATATGTTCCCTATGACAAACAGCTCCACCAAGCCACTTTGGGTCTCGCCTGAACATGAACATGAACATGAAATGCACATACCAAGGAAACAGCC